TGCCCACCCGCCTGTCCGCTTGTCCGCCTGCCCGAGACCTTGCTGCCTGCCCGACCGCCGGTCCCATTGTACATGTGCCTGCCTACCAGCCCGACGCCTTGCTGCCTGCCCGAACGCCTACCCGTCCCGGTGTGCGTGTACCTGCCTGGCTGTGGGCCCATCCACTTGTCCGCCCGCCCGAAGCCTTTCTGCCTGCCCGACCGCCCGCCCCGTTGCGCATGTGCCTGCCTGCCAGCGCGACTGCTTGCCCCGGTGCGTGCAAGCGTGCCTGCCTGTCCGCCCGTCCGCCTGCCCAACAACTTGCTGCCTGCCCGACCGCCCGCCCCGTTGCGCATGTGCCTGCCTGCCAGCGCGACTGCTTGCCCCGGTGCGTGCAAGCGTGCCTGCCTGTCCGCCCGTCCGCCTGCCCAACAACTTGCTGCCTGCCCGACCGCCCGCCCCATTGCATGCGTGCCTGCCTGCCATCCCAACCGTCCACCTGTCCGCCCGTATGCCTGTCCGGTGCCCAATGTTTTGATGCCTGCCCGAACGCCCACCGCTCGTCAGCCTGTCAGCCCGCCCGTATGCCCGCCAGACACTTTGCTGGCATGCTTGCACCCTTGCTTGATGCCTGCCCAACCACCCGCCCCAGTGCGCACGTGCCTGCCTACTAGCCCGACCACTTGCCCTGGTGCGTGCGTGCATGCCTGCCTGTCCACCCATCTGCCTGTCCGCCCGTATGCCGCCCGATGCTTTGCTGCATGCCTGAACACCTGCCCCTTGTCATCCTGTCAGCCCGCCCGCCAGATGCCTTGCTGCCTGCCAGACCGCCTGCCCGGTGAGCGCGTGCCGGCCTGCCTGTCCGCCCATCCAACCGCCCGTCCATCCAACCGCCCGACACCTTGCTGCCTGCCCGACTGCCCGCCCCATTGCGCATTTGCCTGCCTGCCAGCCCGACCGCCTGTCCCGGTGTGTGTGTGCCTGCTTCCAGCCAGACCGCCTGCCCCGGTGCGTGCCTGCCTGCTTGCCAGCCGAACCGCCTGCCCCGTGCATGCCTGCCTGTCTGCTGTTCCGCCTGTCCGCACGTATGCCCGTCCACCTGTCTGCCGCCTGATGCCTTGCTGCCTACCGGACTGCCCCACAGGTGCATGCGTGCCTTTCTGCCAACCCAACTGCCTTCCCCGGTGCGTGTGTGTGCTTGTCTTTCCGCCCGCCCGCCAGTTTGGCCACCAGACGCCTTGCTGCCTGCCCAACTGCCCGCCCCGGTGCACGCATGACCGCCTGCCTGTCCGCCTGTCCGCCCACCTTGCTGCCTGCCCAACCACCCTCCCCGTTGCACACGTGCCTGCCAGCCCGATCGCTTGCTCCGGTGCGTGCGTCCGTGCCGACCTGGCCATCCTCCCATCCGCATGTCCGCCCACCCGACACCTTGCTGCCTGCCCGACCACCCGCCCCATTGCGCATGTGCCTGCCTGCCAGCGCGACCGCTTGCCCTGATGCATGCAAGCGTGCCTGCCTGTCTGCCCGCACGCCCGCCCGAAGCCTTGCCTGTCGGACCGCCCACCACGGTGCATGCGTGCCTGCCTCTCCACCTATCCACCTGTATGCCCGTCCGCCGCCCGATGCTTTGCTGCCTGCCCGAACGCCAGCCCCTCGTCATCCTGTCAGCCCACCCGCCAGACACCCTGCTGCCTGCCAGACTGCCTGCCCGGTGAGCGCGTGCCCTCCTGCTTGTCTGCCCATCCGCCTGTCCGCTTGTCCGCCCACCCGACGCCTTGCTGCCTTCCCGACCGCATGCCCTGGTGCGTGCGTGCCTGCCTGCCTGTCCAACCATCTGCCTGTCCGCCCGTATGTCTGTCCGCCACCCGATGCTTTGCTGCCTGCCAGACCACCCGCCCGGTGAGCGCGTGCCTGCCTGCCTGCCAGCCCAACCACTTGCCCCTTGCCTGTGTGCCTGGCTGTCCACCGTTCCACCTGTCCTTTCGCCCGTCTGCCCGGATGCCTGTCCGCCGCCCAATAGCTTGATGCCTGCCTGAACACCTGCCCCTTGTCATCCTGTCAGCCCGCCCGCCAGATGCCTTGCTGCCTGCCAGACCGCCCGCCCGGTGAGCGCGTGTCCGACTGCCTGTCCGCCCATCCAACTGCCCATCCAACCGCCCGACACCTTGCTGCCTTTCCGACTGCCCGCCCCATTGCGCATTTGCCTGCCTGCCAGCCCGACCGTCTGTCCCAGTGTGTGTGTGCCTGCTTCCAGCCCGACCGCCTGCCTGCCAGCCCAACTAAATGCCCCTTGCCTGTGTGCCTGCCTGTCCGCTGTTCCGCCTGTCTGCTGCCAGATATCTTGCTGCCTTCCGAACCGCCCGCACCGGTGCACGCGTGCCTGCCTGCCTGCCAGCCTAACCGTCTGCCCCAGTGCGTGCGTATGCCTGCCTGTCCGCCCATCCACTTGCCCCTCGTCATCCTTTCAGCCCGCCCGCCAAACACCTTGCTGCCTGCCAGACCGCCCGCCCGGTGAGCGCGTGCCCGCCTGCCTGTCCGCCCATCCGCCTATCCACTTTTCTGCCCACCTGACACCTTGCTGCCTGCCCGACCGCTTGCCCCGTTGCACACGTGCCTGCCTGCCAGCCCAACCACTTGCTCCGGTGCATGCGTGCGTGCCGGCCTGTCTGCCCAATGCCTTGCTGCCTGTCCAACCGCGCACCTGCCCCGGTGCGCGCGTGTCTGCCCATCTACCTGTCCACCCAACTGACGCCTTTCTGCCTGCCCGACCGCCCACCCCGTTGTGCATATGCCTGCCTGCCAGCGCGACCGCTTGCCCCGGTGCGTGCATGTGCCTGCCTGTCCACCCGTCCACTCGCATCACGTTAGCCTTTCAGCCCGCCTGCCCGTTTGCCTGCCAGACACCTTGATGCCTGCCCGACCGCCTTCCCCATTGCGCGTGTGCCTGCCTGTTCGCCCATCCTCTTGTCCGCCCGTCCAACCGCCTGACACCTTGTTGCCTGCCCGACCACCCTTCCCGTTGCGCACGTGCCTGCCTGCCAGCCTGACCGCGTGCCCCGGTGCGTATGTGCCTGCCTGCCAGCCCGATCGCCAGCCCCGGTGCGTGCCTGCCTGCCTGCCAGCCCAACTGCATGCCCCGTGTGTGCGTTCCTGCCTGTCCGCCGTTCCACCTGTCTGGCCGTATGCCCGTCCGCCGCCCGATGCCTTGCTGCCTGCGAGACTGCCCCCACCAGTGCACGCGTGCCTGCCTGCCTGCCAACCCAACTGCCTTCCCCGGTGCGTGCGTGTGCTTGTCTGTCCGCCCACCCGCCCACCCGTTTGCCTGCCAGACGCCTTGTTGCCTTCCCGCCCGCCCGCCTGCCTGTCCGCCCATCCACCTATCCGCTTTTCTGCCCGCCTGACACCTGCCTGCCAGCCCGACCGCTTGCTCCGGTGTGTGCATGCCGGCCTGTCTACTCGACGCCTTGTTGCCTGCCCGACCTCCCAGGTGCGAGCACCCGTCCACCTGCCACCCCGTCAGCCCGCCCGCCAGACGCCTTTGTAGCGGAAACATGAATATCTTCTCAACAAGAGACGGTCAAACTATTGTTCCTGTGAACTCCACCTTTTTCATCCTGCCTGCAACATCTCAAAGTTTGAATAATGACTTCTCCTGTTATCTCATCTGATACTTCTGCCTTAGGTCTTAGAACAAAGGCTAGACTTCCTGTCGCCAGTTAATTTATCACCTCTTTCAGAATAAGACTGGAATAAACATTGTTTGACATCAAAGGGCCCCTGATGTCAAACAAGATGAGACAAAAATATCAAGACTCCCATCAGATTTATCTGTGGGTCAGCAACGCCACCCTGTGGACATTTTATTTTGCACCATGTTGAACTTATCTATTAACACTGAAAACATTTTAGTTTTCACCCATGTTTTCCATTTATAACTATAAAAAGCATCTGTGAAGTTTCAAAACAATACCTTGGTACTCTGATTTAATTACTGTAATAATCATGCCAATTCCCAACATTTGCATATGGCCATGTTCAGGACAGGATGCCTATCATGTACATTTCTTTCACAGTTTGAACAATTTAGTGACATTACCCCCCAACAACATGTTTAAGTAGAAATGGGCATATTTAGAAAAATCTCACTCTCACAAAGTTACGTTTGTGCAGCATCTTGTTAAGAAGCTTTGGTCCAAATGAAGTTGATTTGCTGAAATTTGAGGATAAAATAGGGTTTGGTATGACAGAATCATCAAAATTTGTAATCTTTTCAAAATGGCCCAATTTCTTGTAGGTTTTAGAATATGTTGCCACAAGACTTTTTTTTGTCAGTACTGGACTGATGTACCTATGTAAGTCATAAGAGTGGCTGAGGTTTGGAGAAGGATAGAGTAGAGAGCCAATTTGCCCATGACCACATCTGGATCTTTGTGCCTCCCCATATGTACACTAGTTCTATGTAACTGCCAAGTTTCATAATGCTCAGCCCACTAGAACATGGAAAAACAAAGTTTTTGATTCAGGTCAAAAACATGAGACTTCCACTGTTTCACTGTGCTCTGGTCCTAATCATTGAGTTTTATGCGGCATTTTTGTGCAAGAAATATGATAGGTAGGTTTAAAGTCTATCGTTCCCTTCAGCTGCACATGGCATTTGGATCTGCTCATAAATTTTATTTTAAGGACCCATCAAACTATATGAAAATGTGCAAATTTTATTACTTTATGGTTTTATTTATTTATATTTTTTGCTCAGACTTTGACTTTGCAATGAGTAATTTTAACTCAAGTTAAAAATAGACTGTTGAATAAGCTTCTGACCTACATTTCTGCTAACTGCCCCATCATCTACACTAAAACTTGTGCATCACATGTCTGGTTCACAGTGTCTTAATGTCACAAAACCAGCTGGGTCCCACACACATTCACACCTAAAACACAGATTCTTAATCGTAAAAGTGATAGTTGTGACCTGGGGAGTTTCTGTGAAGATGTGAAAAATAAAATCCAGAACAAGGCGATGCAGTTTTGTTGTGATTTAATTTAGTCAAGTTTCATAGAGTGAACGTTCTTACTAAGGAACAAAGAAAACTAAAGAGATTTTAATGAATATAGATAACACACACTTTGTTTACATCTTTCCACTGTCCCGTGAATCCGTGTAGCTGTCTGGTGGCATCAGGGAGTTGAAGCGCAGCAGGGTGAGGTCCATGGGGGAGCAGCGCTCCTTCAACGGGGCCCAGCCTTCTTTGGTACACCTCACATGTGGAGGGGGGGCAGGCAGGTCACACTCAGTAGGGGTGGAGTAGTTTTCATCAGGGTGGAGGTGGTGGTTGTTTGGATCAGGAGGGGACATGTTGCTGCTGTTGCTGCGGCAGTGGACCAAAAACGCCCCCCGGTGGTGGCGGTGATAGAGTGTTCCAGCCACCACCACCAGCATTAGAATGAGGGAGCTTAGCAGGAAGAAAAGCACGTAGACGACTTTGGTCTCTGAGGACAGACTTGAGCTGCATCCTGCAAGAAAACAACAAGTCATCTACTGACCTCCAGGAGAGAGAGAGAGTTTTACATAACAACAGAGCAGAACAACCTGCAGCCTGAGTCTTCATGCAGATGGTTCCTCCTGATCCCAAGCGGGACTTGTCCTGGAATTCTGGCCTGCAGTGGCAGGAGTATGTGCCAAAGTGGTTCAAACAGTCTGCGTTAACGTCACAACTGCTTAGTTGGGTTCCGCACTCATTTACATCTGTAACACAAACACATGCAGAGCTGCTGACAACACTGAGGGCTTGATTTATCATCATTTTACTATGCATAAAACCATGTACAAAATCCATATTGTACACAAAGATTTATTAACAGTGCACAGTGATGAGCAAAACAGCAGTCACAACCCATTCATGGTGTCCGCCTTCATGAATATGCAGATTATATGATTATTACCAGATCAGCAAATTAATGGGTGGAGGATATGCAGATAAAATCATTTTACACCACCTGCAGTGTGATTTATCAAACCTTAAAACTGGTTGCACTGTTCTTTTAGTAACTCTATTTAGTACTGTAGTGGTCACCCTGGGTGGAATAAACGTTCCACCTGCCTTTGAACTTGACCACGGAAGGCCTCCTTTAAAGAACAGAACTCTGTTCATTTTTTATGGTCATAACATGTTTTCTTAAACAATTAAGGGACATTTTATTTCATTTTATTCTCTATAATCA